ATATCGATACCCCTCCCCCCCCAGCCCCCAACCATGAACCCACTGCCAGTTCTGTGCTACCTGGAGTTTGGTCATGGTAAAACATACCCCAAAACCCTGCTGGCTATGGGTTTGGTCTGTGTTCACCTTATGACCTTGAGATTTATTGCGCTCCTTAATGGCCATTCTAATTGCTTGGCTTCATTCACATTTCATCATCATCTTACCTTAGGTGTATCCTAAGAGCCAGGCTCATTTCTTCTCTTAACGCTTTGCATAAAGTCTAATGTATGTTCAGTCTTTCTTTCTTGTATGTCTGAAAAGTTGTGATAACAAAAATAACAATGGCTACTAGCTTTTGTGAAGTTAATTATTTTAAATGAGCAAAGAAGACCAAGCACCAGGGAAGAAAATGGTTTAGAAATGGCAAAGAAAGCATTATGCTCTGCTACAGCTGGTTGATATTTGGCTCTTTTAGTTTTCTCCTGTGTACCATAAGAGCCATTGAGCTCAGAGGACGTGAACATCCTGTACAAGAAATAGATGGTGTGTGGAGGAGGTGAGGGGGCACCTGGCAGTCGTTCTTTGAATCCCTAAGTGAGCTTCACTTGAATACCTGAAAGAAGCAAGTAAAAGGCTCTGCTTGGATGGCTTCCAGCACACTTCACAGAGCTCAGGAAAAGCTCAGCTAAGCCACACGCATTTTATGTTTTCCTGAGGAAAGACTCTGCTTGCTGGTCTCAGGGTTAAGGAGTCTCAGCAAGTTTTTATAGAGACACTAAAACATTCTCTTCCTATTTTCCTCTGTCACTGAAAGGAGCCCATGGGACAGAACTGCACTTAAATGCCTGCCAGGCCGATTAGCTCCTGTGAGAGCGGCTGGTGCAGTGACTGCCCTGGCGACCCCTAGCTCCCCGGCTCCGCTGGGTGGTCACGTGTGTGTGCGTGTGCACATGTATGTAAAATCTTAATCCAAATTTGAAGAAACTAAACTCAGACAAGTGGATTGCACATTTCAGAATTTCTTACTTCGACTAGATAATTGTAGAATGCACACCATCTTCATCCTCACAAGAATAATAACTTTATCAGGAGGACAAAATAAACACCATGCAAATTGCAAAATATGGAGAGACAGGAAGGTGGAGGTGGGGCAAGTGACAACAGTCTCAAGACTGTCAAAAGCTGGAGCTTTTATTCTTTCCTCAAAAATGTTTTTAAAAGAGAAAAAAATGTAAAAGGAAGCATTTTCTGTTTCTTCGTGAGAGTGATTTGGAATGTTCATTGGAGCAAAAAGGTCATTTATAAACTGACTTTGGCCTTTCCTTGGCCTGTCGTAGCCCATTGTGTTTACTTCAGAACCTGAGATTTACGCTGAACGGATGTTAACAGAGAACAAAACCTGTAGTCATTACAATTTGCATTTGCAATTTTTCTTTATTCTGCTGACCTTAAATTGTTTCTTTTCTAGAAAAAATGCACTTTTATCTTTCTCACTTATGATTCTCCATAGAAGGCTCACTGCTCTTACTATATCTTTAAGACAGTCTACCTTGATTAAAATCTTGTAATTTTCTCACTCATAATTAATGTTTTCCTATCTTGCCATTTTCCTTAAATTTTAGCCATAAAAAGTATATATAATTAAACTAAATGGGGACACTGGAATATTGTTGGTATCCAAAGTATATAGCAATATTCCTAGGTTTAAGATATCAATGTATTCCTTTCTTTTCTTTTTTTTCCCCCCACATTTCCACTTCTATTCTAGTAAAACTGGAAATCAGACATTTTTGGTTTTGGTTTATCTGATTGCCATTGATGATTAAATTTAGAGTCACCTGGTTGAATAAGTGTGAGGATAAATTTAGAAATGAGTAAAGAAATTGCTCTGTTGCTGACCAGTTCCCGCTCACTGGCTGAGCCAGGGGCGGGCGCAGCACCGAGGGTTGCGATCCCGTTGCCGGTCCCAGTCCGGTATGGGCGCAACACTGAGGGTTGCAGTCCGTTGCTGGACACGAAAAAAGACAAAAAGAGTGTGAGGATAAATTTAGAAATGAGTAAAGAAATTGCTCTGATGCTAATGAGGAAATCTGTAGTTTCCTCTTTTAATGAATGACCTTAGAGAAAAAAACAACAATTATATTTAATTTGAATTTAATATCAAGTTTCAATAACAAATATCAAGTATCATTTAATATCTTTCAAGAGAAAAAAGTGGGCAGTTACATTAACTTTTGTTTTCTAATTGGAAAATGTATATCACATTCATGACTAAGTTATCATCAAGTTTCAATAACAAATATCAAGTATCATTTAATATCTTTCAAGAGAAAAAAGTGGGCAGCTACATTAACTTTTGTTTTCTAATTGGAAAATGTATATCACATTCATGACTAAGTTATCGGCCACCTGACACAGGATAGTATGATGCAAGGTACTTAGACAATAAAGACATGTTGTTTGGGAACTTTGCAAATGTATAAAAAAGTAAAAATCAGTTACTTGCATGGAAGTAGTTCTACTTCAGCCTGATAAAGTAGCGCCACCTACTGCACACAAGCTTTATTTTATGTTTGGGACTTCAGCAGAATCGTATCTCTGCAGAAAAGCACACAACAAAATTGGTTTTTGCAGTCTGTTATCTTTTAAGGTCTGCATCTGGGTCAATGTATGGTAAGCTTTTTTCCAAGTATCTTCCCATGTGTGAGTATTAGTCTAATCATTAACAGTGACAACACAAAAGAGTGAGAGAGTGAATGCGAGATAAAAGAATGCAAACATGAAAAAAATGCAGGAATATAAAATATTCCTTCTTGGTGTCTACTGATGTATCTTTTATTCTGGAAATAAGTCAGATGTACCTTCATTTTTCCTTTTCCAAATACCAGTGACATCAGAATCAATAGTTAACCAGTGCTTGTTTAAATTGTTCATATTTCATCCTAGGCTGCCTGTAAGTATGTTCTTTATTATATAATTACAGATTTAACAGGCCTCCATTGAATTCCCCTTTCTCTGACGTTTTTTATTCTATAGTAACATTTAAGTCTACAGTATTTTTAAAATGAGAACTACTAGCCTTTCTAATGTATTTTACATGATAGCATCACATAGGCATTTACATAGGCAATTACATACGCATTTACAAGAGCATATAGTTTTATTAATTTGGGGTCATTAATTATCCTTTCAACCATTTTGGTTTATTTCATCTACTCAATTACACCATAAAATAAATAGGTGACAGTGGACATGTTACAATGGTGATTATGATTGTTTTTTATTGTTCCCTATGACTTTCTCAAGGTCCTACTTGGTCAGTGACCACTCACATCACTCGTGATGATGCTTATGCTTTTGTGCTGAGAAGATCATATCATTTCAGACACTGCTTTATAATTGATTTTTCAGTGTGCATCCATTCATATTACTGTGTTTGTCATCTTACTGTTAATTTATTTATATATTAATGGAATGTCACAGAGTCCAGAATTTATATTTGACATTTGTCAGGGATTTGATTTCCAAATAAACTGAAATAAGAATATAAAGTGTTTCTGGGCCGGCCCGGTGGCACAAAAAAAAAAAGAATATAAAGTGTTTCTATATCATGCCAAAATCATTGATGCATATTAGAAATCTAGACATACAAATAGCACGGATGGTTTCAATTTTGCATCTTATTTTTTTGAATAAGATGTCAATAACTTAATTTTCTCATATTCATCTATATCTTTAAAAACTTTTGTCTTATTTATTGTAACAACTCATTTAATTAAAACTTATTGAGTATCTACTATATGTGCTAGGTGCTGTGCTAAATTCTGGGGATTCAGTGAATAAAGCTAGGTGCTGTGCTAAATTCTGGGGATTCAGTGAATAAATTTTTTTTTTTTTTTTCCTTCTTGAGCTCCCTTTCTTGCAGAGGAAAACAGTGCATAACAAGTCCTAAAACAGTAAGGGCAGAAAGCTATGGGTACAAAAGGAAGTGAACTCAACCCAAACTTCTGGGAACAGGAAAGGGAAGTAGGTAGGACATCAAGGAAGACTTTCTGGAGAAGAGAAATCCTGAATTGAGTTTGCAGAGAAGATGAAGGGTTTGTTAGAAAGATCAGTAGAGAAAGAGTATTTAGGAGAGGAAATGGGATTTGCAAAGACACTGAAATGAGAGAGCGGGACAGGTTTGGGGAAATACGTTGCTCAATTCACTTGGAACTCAAGACGGCAAATGAAGTCCTGAGAGATGACATTGAATGAGTGGGCAGAGGACAGATAATGGAGGATCTTCCTGAATTTGTGCTTTATTCTAAATGCTTTGGTGTTTTTTTAAATATTTGAAGTAAAGAGGATAGAGTGAGTGAGAGAATGGGGTTCAAACTGATTCGAACATCCTGCTCACAACACTGTTTTGAAGGGATTTGAGTGCAGTGTGACTGGAGGAAGGGAGATCAGTTAAGGAGTGGAGTAGGAAGTTGTCCAAGGAGCCAATGAGTGATGGTGGGGGAGGGGAAGATGAGTGTTTGATGGGCTATTACAGTATTAGAACTAATTTAATAACCACGTAAATGTGAAAACTATAGAAGGAGAAGCCCAGTAAATCTTTTTTCTAGCATGGGAAGAGTTTGGTGGCACCACTCACTAAGATACAGGCAGTGCCCAGATTAGAGATGAGCAGAAAGGAGTTCTACTATGAATATGTTAAATGCGTCCAGCTGGAGAGATCCAGTGGGGGACTGGTTATAGACATCCGGGTTAAGGGGAGCAGTGCCCAGATTAGAGATGAGCAGAAAGGAGTTCTACTATGAATATGTTAAATGCGTCCAGGTGGAGAGATCCAGTGGGGGACTGGTTATAGACATCCGGGTTAAGGGGAGAGGCTTGAATTGAGGCTCTTCAAATCCAATCTTTGTGAGTCCTTAATAGTATGTATAACTTCACTGAAGAAAGAAATACAGTGGCTCAAAATTCCACGATCTTCTTTCATCTATCCCACTGTTCTTACACCCCCCTCCCCCCAGAGGACTGGTATGAACAGTTGTATCCCCTCATCCTTACCCTGAAGGACTGCATGGGAGAAGTGGTGAACCGAGCCAAGCAGTCCCTGACGTTTGTGCTGCTTCAGGAACTCGCCTACAGCTTGCCCCAGTGTTTGATGCTGACTCTAAGGAGAGACATCGTCTTCAGTCAAGCAGTAGGTGCCTGTTGTTGTTGTTAGGACAGCCCAGTGCTGAATTGTTAACATCCTAGCCTTGATGATGAAGTTAGAGTTCTTCTTTTGACAGTTCTATTTTTAAAGAGATCCTTTTCTTAAAGTTTTGGTACCCGATTTTTCTTATTTATAATAAATATGGGCTGAAAATCAAATGGAAACAGTTTGTATGAGACCTTAAGTATTTATTTCTGAAAAGAGATGGCCAAGTTTCTGAAATGTACAGCATAAGGGAAGGGACTGCTGCCTTGTGCTGCAGGTAAGCAGCTGGGACTGGGAAAAGGGATGTGTTTGACACCCCTCATTGATACAGCTCCCCCATGAATCCTGGGACAGGATTCACAATGATCTCTTAATTTGTTTGTAAAATAATTCACAGGGCAGTAAGGCCTAAGTAGGAGGTTTGACAGGTCCCCTCCTTTGCCTACACCCAGCACTTTTGATGATGCTGAGGCCAGGCTCCATCGCAGTAGCTATGCTGGTGCCTTCCTCCTCCCCACCTGCCTCTACCCACATGATCCAGATTTATAGAAAGAGCACAAGAAGGGAAAGAGACAGAAGGCCTGTCTTTCTAAACATTATGGGGAGTATTTTAACCAAACTGTTCCTTTCTCCCACCATTTCATGGTTGGACCAGTGGCAAACCAGGAGTCAGGCCTTATGCTCTGCCTTATACATGTTTCTTCACTGTGTCCTTTCAATGACTCTGAAAGGAGTACTAGTGTCTCTATTCTACATGTGCAAAAAAATAATATAAAGAAGAAGAAGAATTGGAGGTGTGAAATAACTTTTTATGGGTTCACCGTTAGCAGTGGTAGACATAAGATTTGAAGACACATCAACCTGACTCCAAAGTCCATGTTCTTTCCCCTTTTGCAGTACAGTCTCCCCCAAGATTTTTACACACCACCTTGCTAGATCAAAGGCTGTCAACTTGCTTTAATACATATATTTTAATAGCTGTAGTTTTGTTACACATACTTGATAAATTTTACTTAAACCTGTGAAGCTTCAAAAGTCTTAAAATATTTAAAAATCAAACTATTAAGTTTACTGACCCTAGTAAATTTCTTTAACTTTTTCTTTAGCTTGCTGGATTGGTTTGTGGTTTTATCATCAAATTACATACAAGTTTGCATGACCCTGGCTTCCTACAGCAGCTTCACATGGTGGGGTTGATAGTACAGTATGAAGGACTGCTAAGTACATACAGTGAGTATTGCTTTAGTACATGTTAAAATTGTATTCCAATTCATAAGGATATTTAACCCATAAATGTTTCAGTTAAACGTAAAAATGAGACGTAAACCTTTGTTGCACCAAGTATTGGAGAAATAAAGTAGCTTTTAGTTTTTTGCATTTGTTCACCTTGTAACTTACCTTTTCTTCCAATTATGTTTTGAAAATAGAATTATGAATTATTTCAGAGTGGACTCCTGAGCAGCCATCTGGCTTTTTTAGTATAAAAGGCTCTTTGCCAACAGTTTCAATGACTGAATTTGAAAGTCTCAACCCTCCAATGTCAAGAACTGCACTGTTCAATAGAGTAGCCTCATGTGGCTATTGAGCACTTGAAATGTGTCTGTACAAATCAATATGTACTAGATGCACACACCAGATTTCAAAGACTAGTGAAAATAACTTTGTATTAATACTTAATAATTTTGTATTGATTTACAGTCAAAAATGGTATTTTTTAATATATAGGGCTAAGTAAAATATATTGTTTAAATTAATTTCAACTTTTTACATTTTATTGTTTAAAAATATGACTACCAGGAAAATTAAAATTATATATGTGGCTCACTTTGTATTTCCACTGGATAGCACTGATCTAGAAACTTAATTTTCTCCACCCAGGCTTTATTTGTCAATGTATGAAGATATAAAACTAGCATGAGCCAGGGTCAGTGATCATCAATTTAGCCATCTCTGTTATTTCTAGAAACCAAATATCCTTCCTGACAATGGATAGAAATCTGCATGATAATTTGTTTCCTAAAGTGGTTAAAACCTCTCTCTAGCCTCCCAGCAAATATGTACAATCTTCCTTCCCTCAAAGGATACATTGACTTCTGGAGTCCATTGAAATGGTTCTTATTTCACAGATGAAAACCTTCAGCCTATGAGGAAAAGCATTTAAAATAAATTTACTTCATTCAGAAACTCATTCACTAAAATGTTAGAACAAATTCCAGCAGGGAAGTCTAGGAGCTAGTGACATTTTATTCAAATAGTATGTCTGTAACTAGGCACGTTTTCATTTGTGTAGGTGATGAAATCGGAATGCTAGAAGACATGGCTGTTGGCATTTCAGATTTGAAGAAAGTAGCATTTAGAATAATTGAAGCCAAATCCCATGATGTCTTGCCAGTTATTACAGGCAGACGGTAAGTGGTGCCCATTTTCTACAGACTAAGCTCTGTGAGACATGTGTGTTATTTCCTGACAAAGAATTCAGGTTTGGTTTAGGAATTTTTCTTTTGTTCTCTTTCCCTTTTGGGTGTGATATAAATATAGGTGATTTGACAGGGGAATGTCTTAAACTTGTGGAAGTCTCACAAACGTTTGGTAAATTTTAGTTAGGTGAGTATAATAATGATCTCCCATGAAATATGAGAAATTCAAAATAATGGTGTGAATAGGAAGAACATTTTTATCTTTATTACTGTCAAGTCTAAAGCTCTGGATGTTTTTACTTTTGCGGGAATCATTCGGTTAATAGCGTCATAATTCTTGAGATGACTTGAAATTAAATTTGGGTAAAAGCAGCAACATTCTAGGAAAGATATATTCCTATGTCGGGGGCCTGTACTACCATTTTTCTTAATTATTTTTGACAATTTACCTCTCAGACTGTGAGATTTCCCAGAAGGATTTTAAATATAGCTTCGAAGTCAGTGTATGATGGGCAAAATATCAGAAATAATTAAGAAAAGTGATGTTATGTTGAATAGGCCTCCAACAGAAAAATGATGCCCTATGTACCAAGTCATTTTAATCAGAAATCCTCCAAATTTCAACTATTCTGGTGTTAGTTAAAATTTGAAGGGTATAAAAAAAATAAAAGAAAATAGTAAAAGTTGAAATATTTTCAGGTCACAATGAAAACATATACATGTACAAAAGGGAGAGCTTTTCACTCACTTTTTCTCTCACTTTTCATGTTAGAGAGAAATGGGAAAGAAACTTGTAATCAGAGTATGTATAAAAAAATTACAACTCGATAATAATGAGACAAATAAATCTCATTTTAAAAAATGGGCAAAAAGTTTGAATAGATATTTCACCAAATAAAGATACACGAATGGCTTATGAGTACATGAAAATATATTTATCATCATTAGTCATTAGCAGAATAAAATTAAAACCACAATTAAATGCCAGTTCATTCATGATAGAATCATCATAGTCAAATAATAACAAGATAATTTCTTAATTAGATAATAGCAAGTTTTGATGAGGATGTGGAAAATCTGGACACCCCATATACTGCTGATGGGAATGTAAGATGGTACAGACACTTTGAAAACAGTTTCTTAAAAAAAGTTAAGTATAAAATTACCATATGACTCTTAAGTATATACCCAAGAGAAATTGAAACATATGTCCACAGAAAAGCTTATACCTGAATGTTCATAGCAGCATTGCTCATAATAGACAAAATCATGAAATAATCCAGGTGGCCATCATCTAATGAATGCATAGACAAAATGTTCTGTATCTATACAATAGAATGCTATTCATCAATAAAAAGGAACAAACTAATGGCACATGCAACTACACAGATGACTACAAAAACATTTTGTTAAGTGAAAAAAGCCATATCATCTAATGAATGCATAGACAAAATGTTCTGTATCTATACAATAGAATGCTATTCATCAACAAAAAGGAACAAACTAATGGCACATGCAACTACACAGATGACTACAAAAACATTTTGTTAAGTGAAAAAAGCCAGATAGAAAAGATCATGTATTGTATGAATCCATTTATATGAAATATGCTGGAGAGTAAAATCTGTAGAGATGTAATAGAGTGGCTTCCTGGGGCTGACAGTGGGAATAGGATTGACTGCAAACAGTCAAGAGAGATCTTTTTAAGGTGAGCAAAATGTTCTGAAACTGGATTATGGTCATGGTTTCGCAGTTCTGTAAATTTGCTAAAACTCTAAATTATGTACTTAAAATGCATGAGTTTATGTAAATTATATCTTAATAAGCTGATAAAAAGTTATCACAAAGAAACTATATAATGTGATTCACCTTCAAAGCAACTTTTAAACATGAACTGATTCATTGATGCTTCTCATATTCTTGAAAGGCTTAAAATAAATATCAGCCCTCTGTTAGCCAGGCTATTGTAAAGGGCACTGAGAGCAATTAAACAAAGAAAAATAATGTGTCCATTCATTTGAGGGTAATAGTAACATCCCTGCTTGCTGGATTCATGGTATTCCCCAGTTCTCTAGTTTATAGCTAGGAAAAAACAGTCTCTGAGTCAATGATTCATAGTGTTTATCAATAATATTATACTAGGAAAAATTAAAAATATTTTAACAAAGAGACACACTCTTTGCCCTGTGCTTTTTTCCTCAGTACATTTGTTACAGCCCCACCAGTCTTTATAGTTCTGGAAACACGTGGATTTTTCTAATTTCTGGGCAAAACTCTCTACTCAATTCACACTCCATCAGAAGATGCCAAGTTTCAAAATATATAATCAGCTACTCTTGTTTACCATATTTTATGAATTCTAATTTAAATTTTCAATATTAAACATTAGGGGTAATTTTTAATGGAAATTTCTAATGAATAATGCTCCCATGATATGCTAATGTTGCAAAATGATCAGGACCACCAAAGGTTACACCTTTTACACCTTAAATAATTAAACCATTACATTTCCATCAGGCCATCACAAACAGGGAAGTTCATCAATAACCACAACAATCAGTCCATGCCAAAAAAATATTATAAGTTATTTTGTTTGTTAGGCTTCACTATATTGAAAAATCTATCATTAAATTACTTTTCTTATTCTTGGGCCTTTTTTTTGAATTTTAGTGATGGTCAAGATGCTTGTTGGTATCTGTTATTTTCAAACTATTTCTCTTTCTCTCCCTCTTACCTAAAAGATATTTCCTGGACAACACAGTTTTTTCTAATTCTTATTTTCCAGTTACAAAGTAGATGACAAAGCTTTGTATTACATGTTTAATTTCAAACTGTGTAGAAGCTTTTAATCTCTTTTCTTATAGTATGCAAAACCAAAATATAATTTTATTCTCTGTATTGTACAACATGTTTTCTTTGATAATTAAGCATTTTTGAAAATCAGCATCTAAAATCAGATTATATTCCACTTATTTATCTATATTTGTCTCACAGCAAATTCAGTGTTTGAGGTGAATGATAATTCTGTACATAAATTATAAACCTGGGAGGAAAAAGAAGCAGCACTCTAAATTGTCTCATCTTTGATACACTAGAGTAGAGAATGTTTTGGATTTGAATTAATAAGTTAAAGCCTGTAAGTGTGATCTTGAGAGAGCTGAGAGACTTCCATTTACAGACTTTTCAAGGACTAGTTAGCATTGTATTTTCAAGGCTTCCAGATTGAACTAATTTGCATCATTCATGTCATTATGACTATTTTAGTTGTCAGTCACTTTATTTAAAAGGTGTACCTTCCTTCCTTTCCATCTCTCTTGCATATTAAAAAATGCATATTTTTTTTCAAAATGCATTTTTTTTTCACACCTGGAAGCTATACAAGACACCCAAGGCTTAAAAAGCAGGCAAAATGGCAAAGTAGGGAAAAACACTGAGAGAAGCAGAAAGGCTGAATTTGAATAGCACTCTGGTATCAACCAACTATTGATGTGAGCAAATCACTTCCTCTCTCTGCTCTGAACCTCACTTTTGCTGATTCTGAAGTTTGAGTCTTAACAGGCAATATCTACATGTTAGATATGCTATGTAACCTAGGTGTAATCTACTGTGTGTGTAGCCCAAATTAAAACATATCTTATATATGACCATTCTTAGATAAGTAAATAATAATTGTTAGTCTGCTTGGGCTACTAAAACAAAATACCATATACTGGGCAGATTAAACAACAGAAATTTATTTCTCACAGTTCAGGAGGCTGAGAAGTCCAGGATCAAGGTCTGGCCAGTTTGATTCCTCCTCATGAGGGCTCTTTTCCTGGCTTGCAGCCTCCCTGTGTGCTCACATGACCTCTTCTTTGTGCGAGTATAGAGAAAGAGGGAACTCTCTAGTATCTCTTTTTATAAGGACACTAATCCTATAAAATCAGGGCTTCACTCTTGTAACTTCATTTAACCTTAATTACTTCTTTAGAAGCTCCATTTCTAAATGCAGCCACATTGGGGGTTAGGGCTTCAATATAAGAATTTGGGGAGGTCACGAACATTCAGCCCATAACACTAATATTGCCCCAGCAAGGAAGACATTATGTTTAGTGAAATAAGAAATGTACAGAAAGATAAATACTACACATTCTCACTCAAATGTGGGAGTTAAAGAAAAAAAAGTTGAGCTTGTGGAATGTGTTGGAAACCACCATTGTGCAATGTACCTTAAAAAATGAGAGACTCCTTCCTTAGGAAATTATTGCCATTGATTTAAAACTATAAAGTAAAAAGTGTTACTTTCTGGTGCTATTTTATAACCCATAACAGTTTTCGTTTTTCTGTTTTTAGATTTGGAGATGTCTCCTTGCAAGAATGTATTAATCAAGAAAATTTTGAACTCCTGAAAGAATATTACAAGATATTTTTGGAAAAGATGCCACCTGATTGTAAGTATGTGAGTTAACAGAAAACAACAATAATAATGTCTTGATTATAAATCTCTAGGAGAGGTTGGACATAGAGGTCAATGAACTAAGAAGCTTGGAATGTGGATGTGAGAGTGATTTTGAGATTATTGTACCCAGAAAGACTGATTACCAAGGTGGCATGGCCGACACCTGCCTCATTACCTTGATTGCACTCTTGAGTGTGTCCTGCTGCTCATGCCAGAACATAAATTTCAGTGCCACTGGAAAATGCCCCAAATTAAAACCATAAAACTTATAGTTGGAAATTTGAATTGAGTCCAGTAAAAATCTTACATAATTATTAACCATATAGAAGACTTTAATAAAGATTGATCTCCATTTATAAGATACATTAGACATAGCACACATATATAGAAGAAATCAAAATATAAGGTATACAAGGTAATATTCAGTAATATAAGCAAAGGAACTAAATATTGAACATACTTATTGCAGAAAAGTTTTATGCAGAAAAGTTAAGGCATCTAAGCCTGTAGAAATGTATTTTACATTTTCAGAATTTTTTTTTTTTTTTTAACTGTTGTTTAGTTCTACAGGGTTTTCTTCTCACAGTATTAAGCACATAACATCAGAGCAGTCCAGAATCAGAGAATCAAGTATGTATTTGGAGTTCATCTATAAATAGTATAATATATTGAGATATTGAGATATTCACCATGATAAGAAATTAGATTTTAAAGAAGTAGGAAATAATTTAATAATTTTTAACCAAAAGATGTAATCAAAGTCTACCTGTCATCTAATCACAGGCAATTTGTTCACTGATTTATATTCTGATACTCAGTTTGATATATCTTAGGTTGCAGAGTGTTCAGGTTTTTATATTGATGTTATATCAAAATACTACAATAACACATGCATGTCCATGTGTGGATAGTTAAAAAAATTTACTTGCAGTTTTTATATTGTGATTTTATATTATTTTATTTTATGACAAGTATTATGTTTGCTGAAATGAAATTAAGTACATGAATATTCTTTGGCATCCAGGATACTTTGAATTTTAAATTTGTTAATTACTTGAAAAGTTAATAATATAAGTAGAACTATTTTGCTTTAATAATTAATAAGAAAATAATTTGTTATAACTTGGATGTTGGTTGTTATTTTATTCTTTGGCATCCAGGATACTTTGAATTTTAAATTTGTTAATTACTTGAAAAGTTAATAATGCAAGTAGAACTATTTTGCTTTAATAATTAATAAGAAAATAATTTGTTATAACTTGGATATTGGTGGTTATTTGGTTTGTTACATGTTGTGTATAATTTGGAAGGAATTCTCAGAATTTTTATCAACAACCTGATAAAAATTCTATTTCTGTTTATATCAGTTCTTGCAAAGTGTATATGGTCCTCAGACCAGCAGCATAAGCATCAACAGCGAGCTTGTTAGTAACGCACATTCTCAGGCCCCACGCGGATCTTCTGAACTCGCCATGAATTTTTGTTTTAATAATCCTTTTAGGTGATTTCTGATCCATACTAATGTCTGAGAACCAATGATATGCCATCGTTGCTCAAAACATATATGATATTAAAAAGTAGGTTGTATGCAAAATCTGTGAAGGTTTTCAGTACTGTGCTCAAAACAATCATGTCACCTGAAAAAGAAATATGTATAAGTACTTGTTGAGATATGAAATACAAAATAATTCTCCATTCAGGTAACTTAAACCATACGTAGGAATGTAAGTTTAAAAAATTTTAAGAACATAAGACCGTATATAATATGTTGCCTATTAAATATATCCAAGTATTTTTAAGCTTGTAAATATATTTCACTCCTTGAAAACAGGATAAGCTTTTGCATCAAACCAATTGCATTTCATTATCTTAATATACTGAATTTTTCCTGTTATCTTGTTTCCTTATTTTTGAGATAACTTTACCATAGATTTGGCCCAGAATGGAGCTGTAGTATGGCTGTGGTTATGCTTTGGAATAAAAGCATAGCCTAATCCATACAATTGTACTGATATATGTGGGGTCATTACTCTTGTAAACATATTGCAACTCAAAGTGTGATTTGCGTTGCACTCTATACAGGAAAAAAAATCGTAAAGTTTTCTTAAGAGTGTGCATAGAGGTTAGGCTATTTGCTAATAAGGAATGAACTATTGTGCTGGGCCATATCCATAATCAATATAATCTATTTTTTTTTCACAGTGAAATGAAAGGATAATTGTGTCAATGTTAAAGGATAGGTTAATTCTCTAACGTATGAGGGTACCTCAGAAAGTTGGTGGATAATACGAATCTTTCCATGCTCTTTTTGAAGTACCCTCACATTACTTTCACTTATTACTCTATTATGGATGTTATGCTGTTACCTTACTACCCTGTTTTAAAATGATTTATGATCATGATTTATGAATTAATGAATTAAACAGTTGAATTCTACATGTTTTGGGAGTAAAAAAAAGTCCTTCCTTCCCCTAGGATTCCTTTAGCCTTAAAGGATGTCCCCTACTTTTTTGTTATCAGGACTTAATGATAATCCATTTTAACCTATATATTGACTCTTGGTCAGATAGCTCTCATCTTTTTACTCTTCTCATACAGAAACTTTATAGACTAAGAAAGTTCTTTAATTCTGATATATATATATATATATATCTACACGTAGCAGTTTCAATTGGTAGTCTCAATTCAGTAATCTACAAACATGGAATAGTTTTATTTCAGTAACTGCTATTGGCTTTACTGAGCACTCACCCCTTAGGAGTTAGCAATTGCGAGCCGGTATGTAGAGTCAAAGTTGCCAATCAACAGTACCTCGTGCCCTTTCAATATGTTCAGCATGGCCTAGTGATTTATAGATTAATCTATTTAAAAATCTTCATTTCAGGGCCGAGCCCGTGGCACGCTCGGGAGAGTGCGGCGCTGGAAGTGCAGCAGCGCTCCCGCCGCGGGTTGGGATCCTATATAGGGATGACCGGTGCACTCAC